TTTTTTTAAAAAGATTAACATTTTTGAGAAAAATTTACTCTGAAAAAATTAGATTTTTGAGAAACTATAAATTTTTGACAAAAATTTATGTTTTTTAAAAAAAAAAAACTTTTTGAAGAAAAATTTATTTTGAAATATTTTGAAAATTCTGAACTTTTTTCCAAAGCAATCGTACTGCTTTAACTGCATAAAGACGAAATATCAGAGCGCGTAAGCGCCGCGTCGCCGTCTAACGCGTAAACATAGGTACGGAACCCATAAGAAAAAAAATTATATTTATTGTTAAAATTTATAAAAAATATCTGATACTCTGATGTGCATATGTCTAATGTTCATTTTTGACCGCCAAATGGCTCATTTTTTTACTTTTTCCTCCATATCTCCGAAGTCGTTGCACCTGCCTTTCCAAAAATTTGAACAGTTCTTCATTTAGTCAATACAAATAAAATGTTTTTTGAATTATTCAAATCGGACGATCCGTTCTCTTAAAAACTGAGTTATCGTTTTTGGCACTTTTTGTCCCGTATCTTCGGAACGGCTAGACCAGCCTTCGCCAAAAACTAATAAGCACGTCTCCTTATCAATGCGAATCGAATGTTTTTTGAGTTATTGAAATCGTTTCATCCGTGTTCCCGAAATCGTCGACGAAAATTTGTATCCGAACACACACACACGGACACGCACACACACATGCACACGCACACGCACACGCACACGCACATATACATCCATTTTTTCTAAGGTATGCCAAAATATGCAGAAACCTCTGAAACGTAAAGATTTATAAAATTTTCATTTTCGATTTTTTTGCGATTACTATAACTTACCCTACGGGAAGTTAATTAGAAGTATATGAAAATATACTTAAGAATTGTTGTGATTGCACTTCAAACAATAATAATAATGAATAGCCCCTCTATTAATAAATGATATAGATTGTTCGTATTATTTTTCAATACCTTCTCGTATTTGCATGTTTATAATTACTTGAGAGGAGGAAACATTTTAAAGCTTCTTTATCTATTACTTCTCTGTTGCTCTCAACATAACAATATTTGGAATTTCTCAATTCACTTCGGTGACAATTTAATCTCCGAGGACTATCGGGAATCAATTTCGATGAAACAATGCGACTGTGTCGAAATCCCTCGGTAGGCCACTATTCGCACGTATAATATGTAAAATTATTGATATTTTATGCGGCGACGTATCGAATCCCATTGGCCGAAGCGCGTCGAGAGCGAAGCGCCATTAAATCTTCTGCTGACTCGTTGAAAAGCAATATGCATTAATATTAATGAAGATCTATGCTCATAGAGCGGTATCCTACGCGGACATAAAACTACGCAAATACTCTTACATTGATATATGGACGGGAGATATTAGTTATGAAATGCATCCGGGCCAGGGGCAGGAGCAGGAAATATGCGACTGTCGAGGAAATATAATCATCTATAGGGCGAGTAGCAAAAACTGACCCAGAATCAATTCAAGACGGATCTAGGAAAAATAAGTATCCAATCATCATTCCTATAAAGTGAAATTATATTATTATAATAAAAAATTACAAATAAAATTGATAGAATACTGCACGAAAATCTGGTCAAATTAATTTAAAAATTTTTACTAAATTAGACTCATCAAAAATACATATTCCGCATTATGACATTGAATAAGTAGAGAAGAACTCGATCCTAGAAGAGTAAAGCAACGAATTTCAACCCTTTTGCTACGAATGCCGACAATGTACCTACGACATCCACTCAACTACCTTTGTATATAAATGTCGTCCATGGACGGCATGTTCTGTTTCAGTCTTTGCTTCAAGATTTACCACTATGAGTTAAACACATTTTTACTGATAATGATAGAAAAATCTTGAAATAAATCGTTGTACTAATGGACACACTGTTCTGTGCATCATTATACGTGTTATCACATATAAATTATTCTTTTGTTATTCTTAAAAATTTATCTCATTTATATACAGGATCGTCTTAGTTAACATTCGGCTATTCTCGTCCTTGAGAATGTCGTCATTCTTTATTTCAACTGTGCTATCCTCTGAGAAATCGTCATCTTTCTATATTTCATGTGTCTTCAAAGCATCAATTGGAAACGCTTTATTAACTCCTGTTTGAATAATACAGGATCTAAATCAGTGATTCACAAAGTGGTCCACATATGGACCCCCAGAGGTCCATGGCAACTTTAAGGGGTCCACGGCAGAAAAACAAAATTTGAGGGTCTACGGCATATTTAGAAATGATTTAAACTTTAAATGTTAGAATCGATCGCGGAGCCAGCCACAAATCAATCTCGCATATCTCAGAAACTATTGAATATTCCCACTTTAAATTTTTGTCAACTATTTAGTAGTGTAGTAACAATGTGTGTCCAGTTTCATTAAAATCGAATTATGCATTTTTGAAAACATACAATCTGTTTCAATACCAGTATTGAGAGTGAAGCCAGCCACACATCAACCTCGCATATCTCAGAAACTATTGAATGACCAATATTTTGGTCACAAAAAATAAAAAGAAGAAAAATATGAATTGGGCTTCGAATTGTTTCCCCTTTTACCATATTCTCTAGATCATATACCGATCTCAGATCTCAAAAGGATGTTTGAGAAGAAACTTTTACCAAATGATGAGATGATAAAGAAACTATATTGCATAAAAAAAATTGCCAAAGAAATTGGTTTCTCTTAGTTATCCTACGGATTTATTGAGTGATGTGAAATATATCGTTTCCAGATATTTGATGGGTAGTTGTATTTTAGTATCAAGCATTGCGAAGATTCGATTTAAACCTATACTTTTGAGAACGCGGCACAATC